GGGTCCCACACATGCACACAGCAGGATGCACAGGCGAGTCTGGCCCCAGGATTCCATCCAGCCCCACCCCCCTCCTCTCTACTGTGTAGTTGCATACTGCCTGGCTGGTAGACACGCTCATGCAATATGAGCGTCTGCCAGCCAGGCAGTATGCAACTACGTACTGATACTCATGATAATAATAAAAACTTAATTAGAGAATATCCCACACATGCACACAGCAGGATGCACAGGCGAGTCTGGCCCCAGGATTCCATCCAGCCCCACCCCCCTCCTCTCTACTGTGTAGTTGCATACTGCCTGGCTGGTAGACACGCTCATGCAATATGAGCGTCTGCCAGCCAGGCAGTATGCAACTACGTACTGATACTCATGATAATAATAAAAACTTAATTAGAGAATACTGGACATTTATACGTCCAGTATTTTTCTCAATTTGTTTCCCGGACAGAAAGCTCAAATACTGGGACTGTCAGGTTCAAAACCGGACACCTGACAACCCTAATTATCCCTGCTGTTAATGTTACATATTAGGAAAAACCTGTAATATCCCTTGCTGCAGATTACCCCCATTAGTACTTGTTCTACCTTCAGTGGACATGGAGAATGATGACCCTCTTTATTACAGCACTTAACATGTATGCCAACTGTTTTCTGGTCCCTATTCAGTGTCCTTTTCTCAAGGCTAAAAGTGCTTGGATTCTTACCTCTCCTCATAAATCAGGCTTTCTAAATCTTATTTTTGTTGCTCTTCTCTGGACTTTTTCCAGTTTGACCATATTTTTCCTAAAGTATGGTGCCCACAATTGGACACAGTACTTCAGCTGAGGCCTCACCAATGCTCAATAGAACAGCACAGTTACTTTCCATGGCTTACATAGAGCACTCCTGTTAATACACCCCCATCAGCCTTTTTCACAATGGTATCACATTTACTCATATTCAGCTTGTGATCCACTATAATCTTAGGGCTCTTTAAGCAGTACCACCAACCTAGCCAATTATTTTCCATTTTATAGTTGCACATTTGACTGTTTTTTTTTCTTTGCACTTGACTTGCACAAGGAGCTTGGTCCTGCCTTGAGGGTGGGGGGCTGGACTCGATGACCTCTCGAGGTCCCTTCCAGTCCTATTATTCTATGATTCTATGACTTTATTGAATGGCACTTTGTTGATTTCAGGCCACTTTTTAAATTTGTCAGGATCCTTGTGAATTCTCATCCAGTCATCCTGTCCTCCAAAGTGCTTGCTTCCCAGGCATCATATTGTCTGTAAACTTTACAAGCATATTTTCTGTTCTGTTGTCCAAATCATTAATGAAAATATATGAATAGCATCCAACTGCTACAGGATCTCACTAGATATGCTCTCTCAGTTTGACAGTGAACCATTGATTACTATAAGACCTCAATCAAAGTAGTTACTTCATATAAACCTTATTTCCTTACTTTGCTTATGAAATTTCATGTAGTACTGTCAAAAATCTTACATAATTCAAAATCTATCACAGCTTTCCTGCTGTCCACTAAGCAAGTAAGCCTGCCTTATGGAAATTAGGTTAGTTTGGCATGGTTTTGTTCTTGACAGCTTCGTGCTACCTGTTTCTTATAATGGTGATATCCTCCAAGTGCTTACAAATTGATTGTTTAATAATTTGTTTCGGTATCTTTCCACATAATAAATTTAGACTGACTGACTAGTCTGTAATTCCCCATCTCCTCTTTGTTCATCTTTTTAAAGACAGGTAGCTATGTTTGCCATTATGCAATCTTCTGGGACCTCATCTATCCTGCAGGAGTTCTCAACTATAATTGCTAAAGGTTCTGAGATTGCTTCAGCTAGTTTTTTATGTACCTAGGATACATTTCATTAGGTCCCACCATTTGAATACATGCAATTTTTCTGTGCTCTTTAGCCTGTTCTTCCCTAATCTGGTTTGTTTCTTTCCCCTTGTTGTTAATAGTGTTATTGTGTCACTGTTAATCTTTTTAGTGAAGACTGAAATAAAATAGATACACGCTTCAGCTTTCTTGATGTCATCAGGTGTTTGCTGTCCTTCCCCGTTAAGAGAACCTACACTTTCCTTATTGTCTCACATTCTTACAGTATGGAACTTCTTGTTGCATTTTATGCCCCTATCTAAATTTAACCCATTGTACCCCTTAACTTTTTTAATTATAATTGTCAGCATCTTCAACTGTTTGGTACATATAATCCATCTGAATTAATATAGCATGCCCCCTGCTGGCTGTTCTGTTTCTTTGGTATTGATCCTGAAGATGATGGCTTTGCATTGATAGGGTTTGCGTATGAATGATGGTGGAGTGCCCCAAGAATGCTGACTAAAGAACTTAATTTGGCGACAGGCTTCTCTACTGGGGTTTGAGAGAAGTTATGCTTGCTTTGCTCTATAAGGATCAGGCTAGCAACAATAAACCAGATGTTCAGAGAATTCAGGAGCCATCTTTCTCTAGCCTGATATTGTTGCTGCTTGAACTCTATTGGGCCCTTTGCGTAGTGTTGGCTTCCAACCTTACCACCCTGTTTGTTGTTCTCAGGTTTCCCCACAGATGGCCTTGCCCCAGCAGTTTGGAAAGGAGGTGAGACAGAGGCCTTAGCCCGGCTGGATAAGCATTTGGAAAGAAAGGTAACTAACCTCCTTTCAGAAAATGATACCTTCTGCATGCTGAGGCCTCTGGTTGAAAAATACCAACCCTAGTTGTCACTCTCATTTCTGCTGTTTGTAGCAGTAGATACAGTTCTGTGTTGATGGAAATGTCTCTATAGGACCCAGCTTGGTGGGGTGGCATAGAGAGTGTGCCCTCCCCACTTCTAGGCTTAAAAGGACTCTAGCTGTGGTAGACGTGTACTGATGTACATGTACTTAGGAGTGGAATTCACTCACTGAGCAATTCTGGTGTTTCAGCTCCCTCGGAGCAAGAAGGTCTCTGCTTGACAAAGCCCTGGCCGGGTTGATTTAATTGGGATTGGTCCTGCCTAGAGCAGGGGGCTGGACTTGATGACCTTCTGAGGTCTCTTCCAGCTCTATGGTTCTGTGATTGTAAGGTTATTGAGCCTGTTCTGTCTAGGATAGCATAGGTGAAGAGCACCTTCGACCAAGGTACAATACTAGCTACAAACTGCCTGCTAGGCATGTAAAATCCCATTTAATTATTTAACTGGTTAAATGTTATGTTTAACCAATTACCAGTTAAATGAGACTGTTGGGGGACAGGGGCGCACTGGAACACCCTTGTCCATTGTACATCCTGCAGGGTCACTAGTTAACTGTAAGGGTGAGGCTTACTGGGTTAATTGGTTAAAGGTTCACATCCCTATTGTTTACCATCTCCTTTTTAGTTTTTCATTTGGAGACATTTGTGCAGATGCACCAACAGGGCAAACAAACGGGCTTTTTCTAGGTAGAATATGTGAGGATTGTTAGTACAACACATGCTACATTATACTTTGAACCACTCATCATAATACCTAGACACTTTCTGCTGACTCTGTCGGGGGTTTTTTTGCTTCACACAAACAAATTAGAACAGTAAAAATATTAGGTGATACTGGTGACAATACAAGATAAAATTACTCAGTCAGACATGGCTAAGTTGTGTGTCTAATGTCCATCTTTCTTGATGGTAGTTGTGCAGTTCTCATCTTGCATCCTGCCATGCTGCATAGAGGAGGGAATAAAACTTCAGTATAATACTCTGCAGTCAGTGTTTAGTTTCAGCTTTGTTATGCCATTTTCAGTGTTCATAGTCTTTCCTTCTGGAGTCACCTACTGCATTAATAAGGGAGACAGTTAAAATCTCTCTTCCTGTAGCTCAGAATTGGCTGTACTTTTGCGAGGTCCTAGGCCCAGACCTACTCAGCAGACAAGAGCTAATAACCCCTCCAAGATAAACATGACTAGATCAAATTCCCTTTGAATAGAAAGTGATTTGTGTGCCTCTCACTGCTGTGGGAGTGCTGAAATGGTCAGCCTGAGACCTCTCCAACAAATGTTTGAAGCAAGTTCAGTACAGTACTGTTGGAGTTGATGCACTTTAGTGAACCTATTGGAGATAGTTGGAACCTACTCCTTGGAATGCTGCATTTCTGAAACCCATTCTCTTTTCCAAATGCTTTTAGGCTTGGGTTGCAAATTATGAAAGGCCAAGGATGAATGCCAACTCCCTGTTGGCAAGCCCCACAGGGCTCAGTCCATACCTGCGTTTCGGCTGTTTGTCCTGCCGCTTGTTCTACTACCGCCTCTGGGAGCTGTACAAAAAGGTGAGAAGGTGGGGGATTCATCCAGAGCAGGCAGACCAAGAAACAGGCTGGTTCTGAGCACATGGGTTGTGTTAATTCCCTTGCAGCTCTGTCATATTATGTTTCTGACACTAGAAGCTGCAGATTGACATTTCCTCCTTCCCCTGCCTTTAATTCTCCTGGCTATGAAGCAGCGCTCAGCTCTTTAAATAGAGTTGCCTATATTGGGGAGGGGGCAACATTCACAAATGGTGACTCTTGTAGACCTAATTAGGTTTTAAATGTAGCTATTTGGATTCTAAAGCCTGAGTTCTCACAATCATTAGCTCTAGATTAACTTAATGCTTGTTCTTTCGTTCTGGACAGACCAATTCTTTCAACATATCACACTAGCTTAAAAACAAGGATGTTCTGCCCCAATGAGTTGAGTTTCTGGGAAAGGGCGGTTCAGAGGATAGCTTTATGATTCCAAATGTTGCAGATAGTTTTGGTCCCTGAGTGGAAATTGCCTGTAGTGCTGGGGCGGAAGATGGGCTGAGCTAAGTTACGCAGGTGCAGGAGCTGGGAAAGTCTAATCTCTCTTTGCCCCTGCATCTCTTCTTCTACAGGTAAAGCGAAACAACACACCACCACTCTCCCTATATGGGCAGCTCCTCTGGCGGGAATTTTTCTATACGGCAGCCACCAACAATCCCAAATTTGACCGTATGGAAGGGAACCCAATCTGCATTCAGATTCCATGGGACAGGAATCCTGAAGCCTTGGCAAAATGGGCAGAGGGCAAAACAGGCTTCCCTTGGATTGATGCTATCATGACCCAACTAAAACAGGAAGGCTGGATTCACCACCTAGCCAGGCATGCTGTGGCCTGCTTCCTGACCAGGGGTGATCTCTGGATCAGCTGGGAGTCTGGAGTCAGGGTAAGTCTGACACTTCCAGAATTAAGCAACAGAGCACATGATAGGCAAATTCCTGTTGGCACATTCTGCAGGGATTGCAGTATAGGTTAAATCTCTCTAATCCAGCATCTTTGGGACCTGACCAGGGTTCCCTCTAAGGTATGCACCTGGCAGGTGCACACCAGAATTTGAGACCTGCCTACCTCTGCTGCAAAAATGGGGAAGACTGTTTAAAAATGTAAGAAGTTTTTTTTATAAGTGTAACAAAATTAGCTGCTCTGTAATAATGTAAGTAGACCTATTATTGGTATGTTTGTTCTATGAATATACTGAGTTCAATTGGAAATTATAAAGTGCTAGAGGTGGAAGAAGCAGGAAGCTGTCCCTCAGCAAATGAGGATTAAGGGACAGTTTCACAACTACTTGCTCTGAATATTTTACTATCTTCCAGCCAACCTACAAAACTAGAATGAATCAAGTCAGGGGGTTCTTGTGGCTGAAGGGCAGATATTCTTTGTGCTTACTTAAAGGTACCCCCCCCCCCAATAGCTAATTATCAGGAACTATCCTTATAGACATTTTCTGTCACTGACTTGGTTACATACTAAGTTCCCTCTAGGCCAAAGAAGCAGCTGGAGCTGGAGCTGGAGCCAGCACTGCAGTGTGGCTGCTTCTGGGACTGGGGCCCACTGCATCCCTGTCTCTCTCTTCTCCACCCCCACCCCCCTGCACTCCTACTCCACCCTCTCACTGCCCTCTGGCTTCCCACATTGCTGCCCAAGCCTCCCACTCCTTGCAAACCCTGGACACTGGAGGAGAGACTCTCGGGGAGCAGCGCCAATGGTGGCACACATCCAAACAAGCACCCATGACCTCAATATCAGCGCACAAGACAACTCACTCCACTCATGGATGGAAAATCTTAGAGGGAACACTATCAGCTTTACCACTGTTTACGCTTCCACTGTTTACTGGGCCCTTGAAGACATTGAGGGGTAAGTTAGAGAAAAAATAATAGCACAAAATGTGGAGAGCCAGGACTGGTGGCTGTAAACAAACTTTATGGGACCACGGGAAACTTGGCTGGATGTTGCTGGATCAGGGAATGCTGGATTTGAGAGGTTCAACCTGTACTGTCCTGGCAATCATTTGGCACGTAAAGTAGTGTGGAAGATAGGATGATCTCGCTAGCTTTGCTTGCCTTAGAAGTTGTCATCTTTCTGCCTGGACTGCTGTTACCCTAAATACATTTAAATGGGATCTGTTGGTTGATATGGGCTATTATAAAGCATTCCCAGCCCAACTGTGTCTGTCAGTTCCATTGTGTTTGGATATTACTGGGCATTTTTCCTTGTTGCTGGTCAAGGTAAGCTCCCTGAATGTGCAATCTGAGTCTAGAGGTCTTCCAAGGAAAGAGCTAAAAAACTCACCTATTGGACATATTAAAAAAAAGGTCAGAGAGCCTTGAATCCACCCAATATGTTCATTGCTGAAAGTGGAAGTAGTGAGATACTTGCCCCAAGGTGCTGAAAACTCCAATGGATCACTGACATTGGAATACAGAACTTCAAGAAAACAAAATAGACAGGAATTCAGTGGGTTATTACTAAAACCCTGCTTTGGCTCAGAGTGGGGGATGGATAATGTTATACCTAGAAGGAAAAGCACTTGTTGACTTTTGATCTACACAGACTTGCTCTGTTCCTTCAAGATCTATTTTGCTTACTTTCTTTACACTTCCAAGTACAGGTGTGATGTCCAAATCTTGCAGTAAAACTGTACAACAGAGTCTACAGCAGCAGGAGCTAACTGTAATGTTTGCAAAATAACATGATCAGGCAGGGCTTTGCATTGGGAATGGTTCGATGTAAAGATTATCTGGTCAGGTGTCTGCATTTCTGCTCCTGTTCCATTTACTAAGATCTGTGTCGTGACAAGCTGATATTTAGCATCTGAGGCAATCTTCTAGTGTTCTCTGCTGCTGAGGCTTTCCTTAAGCGATTGGTTCCCTGACCAGCTTTCTCTCTGATTGCTGCAGGTGTTTGATGAATTGCTGCTGGATGCAGATTTCAGTGTGAATGCTGGCAGCTGGATGTGGCTTTCGTGCAGTGCTTTTTTCCAACAGTTCTTCCACTGCTACTGCCCTGTGGGTTTTGGGCGTCGCACAGACCCCAGTGGTGACTATGTTAGGTGAGTAATATGGGTGGGTGCTTCTCATATACATCCTAGTCATGCCAGTGAGACATAGCTGCACAATCTGTCTGCCTGGTGGCTGACTTTTGACTTATACCATACATATGAACTCTTTGTGACTATTACACTGACTCCTTATTCAGAGTATCTTTTTATTTGTGCTTCAGGCGATACTTGCCCAAGTTAAAGGGCTTCCCCTCACGGTACATCTACGAGCCCTGGAATGCCCCTGAGTCAGTGCAGAAGGCAGCCAAGTGCATCATTGGGGTGGACTACCCCAAACCCATGGTGAATCATGCAGAGACCAGCCGGCTAAACATTGAACGCATGAAACAGATCTACCAGCAGCTGTCACGCTACAGAGGCCTCTGTAAGTATCAGGTGCTATGAGGCACTTACTGTATTGTGCATTTTAACTCTGTATCAATTGAAGGAGATAAAATGACTGGGATGGGAGGGGGATTCATAATACAGCAAATAGCAGTTGCGCTCCGATCAGATTTTTGCAAGAGGAAGTGACTTCTGCTGAAAGTTTCTCAAAGGGCACATGGTTTTCCCTGGAAATGCGACAAGACCATGAGCACGTCAGTATGTCAAGTTTTGAAGGTTGGGAACAGCTCTCAGGAGATCGAAAATGGGTGGAAGCCTGTTAGGGACCAGAGAACCTGTGCTTCACTCCTAAAGCCCATGCATAAGATCCAAGTAAGAATGATCATCATGGGGGCCAAGACTTGGCTCCCCAGCAAGCATTGTGCCAACTGAGCTTTAAATCAAGCCTTGTCTTTTGTCAACACTGGGGCACCACTAACTGTTTGCACATAGGTTGTTCTGAGCTCCCCATGAAAAACAAGAGCCTGTTCCTCAGCGGCTGTCTCAGTGATCATTCTCTTTCCCAGGTTTATTGGCATCAGTCCCTTCCTGTGTGGAAGATCTCAGCAACCCAGTCACAGACTCAACTGCAGGCCAGGGCAGCAGCACCACTACAGGTGAGCAGGAGCTGTTAATAAATTACCTAGATAAGTTAATGGATACTTGGTGCCCATTGCTGGTTAGAAAGGACAGCTAGGAACAAGTGTGTGGCTAGACTGGAATAGATCTTACTTTCATTTGGACTTGCTGGGAGTTCCCAAAAGTTCTTCCTAAAAAGCCAACAGAACTCTAGTTGGTGGTGGTTTCTGTCGTCATGTGCCACAATTGGATGGAACCTGTCTAGATACATAGGACATGAAGAGGGGAGATGGAAACTTTTTTTTATAAAACTAGCCCGTTAGTGTAGTGCAGTTAGACTCTGGTGTTTGAGCTGAGCTGGAATTTGAGACTCCGTATCCTGTTGGCATTAATATTTGTGTCAGAGAAAAGTGAAGTGAGGTTGTGGCTGCACTTCCTTTTGCTTTGGCATTGCAGGCTCTCCTTTTCCTCTGCTGTCTCAGCACAAAGGTGCCTAAAGCAGTAAATGTGAGAAACTCCAGGGCCAGAGGAAATATTGCAGTGACTCTCCTCTCCCTCTTGCAGCACAGAGGCTGTTGCATTGTGGTCAGACCTCTCCAAAACGTAAACATGAGGGAATAGAGGAGCTATGTGCTGAAGAGCTGTACAAACGGGCCAAAGTGACGGGTCTGCACATTTCAGAGATCCCCAGCAAGAACTTGTGAATGTGAGTAGCCCCATGGTTTTACTATGGGATGACTGCAGGGCTGTAATCCTCCTCAGTCTATTTCTTTTGGTACCCAACTTGAAATGGTGTCAGTAGTTTAAAAATTTAAAACTTGTGTTGCTGTAGTTTGATAGGCCCTATTATACTGCCAGTTAGCCTCAGTGGCTCTCTTCTGTCTGTCACCACGTTGTTTGGCAAGGTTTTAGCACAGCTGACCAGCAGAGGGCAGCAGCATTATTAATTTAGGAAACAGACTGCCCTTATTCTATGGACCTGTTCTACAGGGTGTTGCTCCCTTCTGACAGGACCTAGCTGTCCTACAGAATCAGACTTCACTGCCTGGTCCCAATCTGCTCCAAATGTTGCAGGCTGAGAGGGAGAGAAGCACATCTTTTGTTGGGGCAATGGGCTGTTCCTTGTTGTCCTCTTAAAATGTTGGAGAGAAGTGCTGCTGTTCTAGCTCTAGTTCTGGAAAGAGTACTGATACCTAAATCCTCCTTTCTCTCTTTTTCCTGCAGCCAGAGATGGGCGAATCGCAAGGGAAGAGTTGGGGTTCTGGAGTGTTCGCCACAACAGTGGATGGGTGCTGCTCCCAAAGGGATCAGAGCTTTTGAGCAACAGCTGAAAATGGGAGGGGAAAGGGGAATGAATGTGTAAGTCTGATGGCTGCCCCACAGGGATATTGCGTCACTTGTGTTTGGGTACATTTTGGCTCAGTGGCAATACAGAAGCCCTGGGACCTAAACCTCTTTCTTAGCCAAGCCTGGAATCTGCCCAGATTGGAGGTGGCAAGAGTTTTTCATTCACTCCCAGGTGTATCTTCTTCCTTTCCATTTGTCTCATACATGGGTCCATTTGCTGCCTAATTACAGGAAGCAGTATCTGCATGTCTCAGAAGAACTATACACCCACCTTAACTATTAAATAGCAGGCAGCGAGATGTCTTTCACCCCAAAATAAGTCCTTTCTCCTGCCTGTATGGCATTAGGGTGCTCCCAAGGCATCTGTTCAAACAACTCCAGCCCCAGAGCATGATGAAATGTCCTTCTATATGACTGTCAGCAAAGTAGGGGGATTTGGAAAAGGATGAAGCTGCAGGAATGAGACATCAGTACTGCCATAGCCATGACCACCCTCCATGGACCAGGAAGTACTTATCTGCTCAGTGAGTCTTAAACATTCAAACCAGTGCCTGATTGTGACCCTGCCATTGTCCAAATGGGGCAGATGTCTAGAATAGGCAGCTGAAAACTGGCTTTTTCCTCTCTGGGGCCCTCTTGAGGGGAAATTTCAAGAGAAGGGTGACTCTTCTGAGAATAAGCCTTTGCGTTGATCGTAGATGAAGCTTTCTCTCAAATATTTGCCCCTCTGAGTAGCAGAGAAGGCTGTACCTGGTGAGGAACCCCATTCTGGATCTACTAAGCTGTGGTATCTACCCTTTCTGCACGTTTTCCTTCCCTAAGAAGAGGCCCTTTCAAACAGAGTGAGCAATGTCTGGTGTGGAGCCCATGCAGTGTCTGATATGGAGTGAATGTGCCACTAGAATGAGGCTGGGCTGTTGGGCAGCTCCTATACGTGAGTCTTCCTTGGGCTCCATAGCCCATTCTTTGTGGACGTCCGCTCCCCTTCCTGTAGGTTGCAGTGCATTTGTATCTGGTTTTTTTGTTTGTTTCTGCATTGTGTAACCCTATGACCTTATACCCTGCACCGCATCCTCTCCCTCTGTCCTCACAGCATTCAGTGCTTGTATTCTAACCTGACAGCTTTGTAGCACATACAGGCTGTTAATTATACATCCCCTGGTCTTGTTCGTCTTTCATGAAGGCGCTGACAGGCCCTCAGGCTGCCCCCCAGATTATGGGTGGAATAGAGTAGAGGAGCCTCTGTTTCTGCAGCCATCACAAGGAATTGTCTCCAGTGTCTGTGCTTGGCACAACATTTGTTTGCCATCTAAATTAACAGTCTATATCTGTGTGGCATAGACATAGGCCCTAGCAGAAACAGCTGCCTAGGTTCACTCACAATCTCACCTACTGATAACCTGTTCCCTTACCATAACAGAAGACAATTTCTCATCTTCAATGGATTTGGATTCAGTTTTGGGACCCAGACTTTGAAGTTTAAATGATGCTGGGGTTATAAATAGCAACTGATTCAGGGGCATTTGAAAGGTTTACAGTTACTGGGAGATGGGGCAGTATGTCAGAGCCAAGAGTTAGTTTATAAACACCAGCTAAATAACCTTTCCCTCCTACTAACAACACTAGGGCATTGACCCCAGATTTCCCTTTCCAGTGGAATCTATTGACCAGACTTTCCAAGCAGTGAGTCTCCCCTCCTAACCTTGTTTTGGTGTGTATTTTTCCATACTAATATCCTCTAGAGAGGATTTAAGAATAACCCAATTATCCAGCGTAACTGGGGGATGTCTCCAAATCCTTACCATGGCAGGGCGGCTCTATAGTCTGGTAGCATAGGGGCTAGGGGCAGGATAGGACCCCATCTTCTGGTGCAGAGAAGGGGAAAGAAATGCACTTTGTACACTTAGCATTCAGAAAATGTGACTTCTGTCATATGGACAGTTTCATGCGTATACAATCGTCTGTCTGTAAATATTGTTTTATAAATGTCTTTAACCCTCTACTTGCTGTGTTTTCACTTATTTCAAGTGAGTCAGGTGTGTTGGAGGGTCTTTCTATGCTGGGTCAGAAAATCTTCAAGTGGTCTATTGCAAAGCTTTGTGAATGTGTGCAGAGGGGAATGTGTATGGTTCTCTGTTATCCCCAGTATTTGTATTCTGGCACATGGAGCACCCACAGTTTGCTAGGTGCAGTCTATACAAGGCAGACACTCTGCTTTGAAGAACTCTCAATCTGAGAAGATATAAATATGAAGGAAGGAGAGAGGCAAAGTACACTGTTTATTTTAGGTCGTGACAGAGTAATGATTTTTCAGTCTTAGGAGGTGTTTCCACATGGGAAGAATGGCATGGGAAGAACGGAGACTACCCATTTCATCAGATAATGGGGGTTGAAAGCAAAGAACATTAGTGTCACTCATCCTAACAGCTCTGACCATGCACCATCTCTGCTAGGATGGACATTGTGTGTCAGTTCCAGACTCTCATATCCCAAAACAAGCTCTTTAACTACCACAGGATCTCTCATCATGTGAGAGAAGAGGAAGCACTACAAAGATGTACTGAAAAGCATATCTCAAGAAAACTGATGTGGCTATCACAAGTTTGGAGGAGCAAGCTATCAATCGGCCTCAATGGCGCCCCATCATCCATCATGCAGTGACCTGCTTTGAGGGGAAACACTTTGCCCTGAAGCTGAAGAGAGAAGTAAATTTCCCTGGGGGGGAGGGGAGCTGGCCTGCCAGGAAATGTCTGTATCTACTGCACGGGGATCTATAGTTCCAATCACAGATTCCTGATTCATTTCAGGACCCATATGTGAATCTGTGGTAGAGTTCATCCTTGAATCGAGAGTATGCCAGTATAACACCATATTTTTATTTTTAATTAAGGTGGGAGATGAGGGTCTGTTAAATCCTATGTTTTTCGGAACATGTCCCTCTGGGTGTTTCACTTTCAGTGGTTTGGTGCTATGTGCTTCTAGCTGGAGATTTTTGTGGTAGCAGTACCCCGGTTGGCCATGCACACATGGCAGCCATCTCTTACTACTCCAAGAAGTTACCCTGTGCACACAGCCAACCATTACCCAGTTCCTTCTCTACCGCCTTTAGCTTGTTGGAACAACAGCAGTGCCCATATCAGCTGTCACATGCCTCTAATCCAGGGGTTGCAAACTCAGTTCACCCTAGGACGAGTGTCACTCCAAATCCTAGTGGGCCAGAGGGCATCCCTGTCTGGTAAGGCTCTGGAGGAGGGGTCTCCATGCATTTCCCAACCCTTCCTGCCAGCCCATGAGCCTCCCCACCCCAATTCTGCCTGCTACCTCCGGGTAATTTAACTCCTTCCCCTCCTCCAGATCACATAGCACCACCACTGGTAATGTAGCAGAGCGGCTTCCAACTGCTGCTGCTGCTGTCACGACCCTGTAGCCCACAGGAGGTGTTTGCAGAGTCATCCCAACCATAGGCAATTTGGTGCACCTGCCAAGCTCTGTGCTTTGTGAGGGGCTCCACAGCAGCTACTCCAAATGTCCTATGGATGGGACAATCCCCCAAACTCAGATGAGCCTGCGGGGCCTTAGATGAGCTGGACCTATGCAGCAGCCTGCTCTGATCTACCACCATCTTCCAAGCCAGCCCAAGCTGGAGTGCTCTACTTCCTGCCACTGTGGTGAAAAGCAGTGACTGCATCAGCTTGAGCAATGATGGCAGAGCAGAGTCTTCTGCAGTGCTCTGCTTCACCACAGCTCCTGCTGCTCCAGTAAAGGGGGAGGGGGCTGACCCCTGTTGCCACCATGTGCTAGTCCACCCTGTACTCCCCAAAACCACTTCTTTACAGGGAAGAGGTTTGAGGGAAGAGGTGTGATTGGGGGGGCGGGAGGGAAGGGTGGAACAGAGGCTGGACTTGGGGGAAGATACCGCCTCCCCCTCCCCCCCCC